CCATAACCCCCCAAAGCAAATCCTAACCATCCCTTTGTGGTATGGAAACTTGTAGTATAATTTCAGAGAGATCCATACACTGTTCCAAAGTTATTGTCTGGAAACTAGAAAATGCTTATTTTTGGCCCCTTTTTGGCCCCTAATTCCTTAACTGTTGGTACCATAACCCCCAAAATCAATCCCAACCTTCCTTTTGTGGTATTTAACCTTATGGTAAAATTTCAAAAAGATCCATTCACTTAAACTAAAGTTAGAGTGCGAAAACCAATGTGTATTCGGACGACTACGCAGGACGACGACGACGACGCCGGAGACGACGCCAACGTCATACCAATATACGACCACAAAAATTTTTTTGCGGTCGTATAAAAACTGCCAATCTTTGTTGCATATTGATAAAAAAAATTGTAAAAAATCATGAACATACAAAATCTAAAGATCTTTTGTGTCACCAATTTTCGGAGTGTTCCACAAAGTCCTTAGCATGTTACAAGTTCCTAAAGTATACTTATTTTTTCACACCTAAGTTATCGAGCTCACCAGTCTGCTCTTGTCACATGTTCATTCAATAGAGAAATATTGTCTTTTTGTGATTAGGCCAATTAAAATTAATTGATAGATTTTCATCCCCGCCCGCCCCTCTGAAATCGTCCCTCCCCGAATTTTTTTATTTCTGTTACCGGTAACCGCTGATAATTTCGTTTCATTCAAAACTTTTTGTTTCATATTTCGGTTTTCGTATTTCTTTGAGTAATATAAGTCGACATATTCTTCTGCTCAATGATGACAAAATTATCTTCTGAGAATAAAGATTGATTACTAGAAGGGCATGAAATATTCGGGTTACGAGTAATAGGCGGTGTCCAAGAACGCTTATCGCGGTATGTCACAAATTTCAGTGATTAGAAAACCGTGGATTTTTTTATTTATACAATGACTTTGTGTCAGGAAATTTGGACTGTGAATGATATCCAAAGCGCAAGAATCCTGGAACACATTGGTGCAAAAAAAATGACTGGAATAAAGTAATTGACACAAGCACGAACTTGTGCGATTTATGACCGTATATTGAGTACAAAGAGTCGGCCATCGTACAAAATATATTATAGCAAGCCCTTAGATTTACACCAAGGCTGTCGTTTTTGTTGACAAACAGCAAACATCCTCTGTCCCCAGCCCCTCAATAGAGTCATTAAACAACTTCTTCGTTTTGTTTCAGTTCATGTTTTACATTGTAATTATATTTGCACCTTGCATAAAAATATTAAAAGCATCAACCCTAGTATTTTCAACACAGTTTGAGTTTTCATTTCACTCTGTACTCATAATATTTGTGTTGCATACCAATGCATATGCTTCATTTTATGACACGTAACAAATCATAGCTAAGAAAGCAAAATAAATTTGATCTTGGTAGTCTAAAAGAGAACATTTCTCCACATTTTTGCTATTTACTAAAAATAGGTTTCTAAAGCGGCAATGACATGTAGAACAGTGGTTGCCAATCAGAAATATTGATTTAAGAATTTGAAAAATAATGTAAAATTCCTTATATATACATGATATAAGCTTAGTATTACCCTTGTATATGAACAACACGTCACAAAAGGGTAAACGGAGGAAATAAAAATTAAAAATAAAATCCTCCCACCCGTCCCATTTTTTTCAAAAATCTGGATGAAAATCTACTAATTAATTTTAGTTGGCCTTATAAAAATTTAAAAGTCTGTCTGTGCAGGTTAAGAAATTAAAGATAACTATTTTTATAAAGAAGGTATCTTTCTACTATTTTTTATACAATTTTAAGAAAAGGTCGTCTCGATTTTTGTACATGTATTTGCGGTCTTCTCGATCTATTCACATTCAATGTTTACATCGAGATAAGGTCCATTTGAATTTGCTTAGTAACTTAATTTCAAAAGTGCCAATCTTTGCTGCATATCAATTGATTCCTTTGGAATTTTTTCCCTGACTTTCTCTGATCTACCTGTATATATATTCGGATAATAAGCATGTTCCAGAAAGGTAAACAGCATGTGGAAAAATAAATTGAAGTTGAATTGGTACTCCCAGAATTTATTCGCATAGCAACATTTTAAACCAATTTTACATCAAGCTTCTATAGCCTGCTGTTCTCGTCGTTTGGAAATGATAACATTCAATGGAAGTTTTGTTTTTATTTCAACTTATTTCTATTTTTACTATTTACTAGAACGTTTTTCTGTGAATCCATAATTGATATCGTTCTTGCTAAAGTGGGACAAACATTGAGAAGATCTAGTTTTCAATATTTACAGGGGAGGTGTACTACACATGTAATAATTTGTTACTAGATTTCGCACTGTAAGTAACTGAGACTGACATGTTTTAATCACTCAGAAATTCACACTAATAATAAGAACTGTATAATTGAACAACATATGACCAGACCAACACAACTTCAATGAACTGTTACATGATAAAAGATATGATTTTTGAAATCTCTACTACATGTAATTCATGTTTGAAAAATCAATATTTTAGATAATCAACTTTAATTCTTTTGAGCTAACATGAAACTTAAACATACTAGTTATCAAACAATTATACAGTACAATACACCATGTTCAATCATACTACATGTAGTAACATACAATTGTAATAAAAGATAAACATAATAACTGTTACTCTAGATCTGTATTGGGCAAAAACAATAAACTGACATGAACAATTTCAATGACTAGAAGTAGATTATCTCTAGATTTTGTGGCATTTGAAAAAGAAAAAGAAAGAATCTTGGTAGGCAGACTATAGCTAGAACCAGGGTTCTCACTAAAAAAAAATTAAAGGCGAGTCCAGGGGGTCAAAATGTTCAGCCATGGTGAGTCCAAGGGGGAGAAGGAGAAATTTTATTGCTATATATTTTATCATTGCAGTCTCCAAGACAAAATAGAACAAGAATTGAATTTAGATTATTTTTAAACTTTTGCTATAAACATGATAAATAAAGATACATGTATGCATCTTTGGACTCACCAGTTTTGAAAATCATTTATCGAAAAACAGCAGCGTCCTCAATCTATTTATCTAATATTGTTGTTCAGTAATTAAAGGGCTATGAATAAAGATTTCTTTTAAAGCTGTAGATGTTTAAAAAACAGATTTCTTTTTCTGTCCATCATTAAAACATAAATCATAAAACTAGGTTTAAAACAGGAGCACTAAATTGATAGCAAAGTGCCAACTTCATAACTATTATTTTTATAAAAGTTGTAAAAACTACTCATTTAAGTGACATCATGGACATGTGAACAGCTGATCACCTGAACTGCAAAAGTGAAAATTTTGAAACCATTCTTTACCTCCTATTTTTTCAATCAGTAATCACTTATCAACCCTTACATGTCGGGTCCATATATTAGGACCTCTATACATATCCAGAATACATGTACATGTACATGTATCTTAGGTTTGGCTCAAATGGTCTTCCATATTTCAGAGGCCAACTGCATGTTTTTCGAAATTTATGCATGTTTCCTCAAACTAAGGCTATCATATATGCATGAGGCAATGCAGTCATGTCCCCAGTTTTTTTTTGCAGGGGGTAGGGTAGTAACGTTTGTTTTAAAACATCAATTTCATTACCATCCTCAAAATAAGATCTTTTATTCGTATAAAATCCAAAATACCATCATCAAAGATCTTGTTTTAAAATTGGTAACAATTCACAAGGACCAAATAAATTCATGATGCAGGACGCGACGTCTATACTGCCATAAAACAGTGGCGGATCCAGAAATTTTCATAAGTGGGGACCCACTGACTGCCTAAGAGGGGGCCGCTCCTGTCATGCTTCAGTGATTCCTATATAATCAACCAAATTTTTTCCCCAAAAGGGGGGCCTGGGCCCCCTGAAAAACCCTCTAACTCCGCCTCTGTAAAGTCCATAGGATGTATCGGGCCATTCCTTAATGAAAGGATGTATCGGCCATGGGACAGACAACATGTTCATGTTTTTTTTTTTCAGAAATAAATTTTATTTATAAAGCATTGTGATATATACATGTAGATGGTTATTATAACTTGTAAATGTATTATGCTGTATTTACATTATTTGTCATCTTTTTATGTGTTATACACTTGGAATACGCATTATATATATACAATGTATCATGTATAAATGTGCTTTATCTAATAAAATATTTATATAATTTTCTAAATGGATTTATAATATCTTCCATAAAACAAACTGAAAAAATAAAAAAAATAAAAATGAATATTGAAAATGGGAGATCAATTTCAATTCTCTCAGAGTTAAAACGATAAGTTTAGTTTGGAAATATAAGACTAAGTAATCAGATAATGATTAATTTTAAAATTTAAGAAGATTGTTAATTGCTTATTATCATTTCTTTGATGAACTTAAGTATTAATTATACTTTTGTCAAGAAACTGCAAAGGAAGTACAAAATGAGATCACTATAAAAACACAGCACCCAAGCTTAGTTCAAGCGGATACAAACATACATTTGGTAGTGAAATTCTTGTAATAATACAAGCTACTAGAGCGGTCTTTTTGAAGTAACCACCTTGCAGCATAAGTAACCACAATGGAATAAATACTTCCAAGTAATAGTATTGGATGATACGTCTTTACAAGGTATGGATGATGTGGTGGTATGGCCAACAAATCCTATATATGGACAATGTGGATGTATGGCCGTCACGTTTTGAAAGCTAGCTATGGATGAGTTTCATAAACAGCGTTAACAGCATCACATAATTTCACTAGTTGGACTACACAATTTCACAGTAACATGAAAAGTGATTTCTATGTATGATCAGTTCCCAAACAAATCTTTGTATCTATATATAAGAATTACATATGTCTGTATGTCATAATGCAAGTACTTATATTAACTTGGGAATATGAACAAGAAAACGTTTTAGGTATATGAACATTTGCATGTTATTGTGTTTACAATCCTACGAAAACAGCTGAATTAAACAAAAATACAAACCTGTTTGGTGCGAATTTAAGCTTTCAAACAGATTCCCTGGCAGTATCAGAAGAATTCCGATTAAAATTAATCCAAGAGCCATTTGGCGTGTGTGTTAAAAAGTGATAATGGCTACATATTTATAATATTTCTCTGTTGGAAAACATAACCGTGTTCTTATTTAGCCTCAACAAATTATCGACCACGTTCGAGATCTTGACGTCACAGATAAACAACGCGAATAAAGGAAAGATTTCATTTCATGGCTTAGGTAGATCGTGGAAATTTAAAAAATGTAAAACGATAGAATTGTTTTATACTTTGCCAAAATTAAGTATTTATCATGGTATTTTTTAAAATATAATTTTAAAAAATGGATCAGAAGCTTTCTATTCATGCTACAGGTTATTCAAAATACATGCAGTCAGATTTTGTAAAGATTTTATACACGAAAAAAAAAAAAAACGGGTAATTTCATTTGTATAAACAAAAAATGATAGCATTTTGATAAAAACGGGTAATTTCATTTGTATAAACAAAAAACGATAGCATTTTTATATAAACTATGAGAAGATAGCTCTTATAGTGTACTTTCACAAAATAAAAAGAAAAATAAGAATTATCACGTAAATTGTTGTATTGCTACAAAGCAAATACGTAAATTCACTGTATACTTCCAGTTCATAAAATTAGATTGTCTTGTCAACGTATATTTGTTCCGCCTAACAGAAGTTCCACTGGAAACTTTGTTATAAACAATGTCATAATATCTGTTCCTGTAAGAACAAATATTCTATACCATTTATTCCGTTAGGAACATTTACTGTAATATTTATTCCAGTGGAAATAATATTCCAGAATATTGTTTCCATTTGGAACTTATATTATGAAGGAACTTCTATTCCGTGACAGTCTGAGTTATTTCCCTTATATCGATTAGTTGAAAAAGTTGAATCGAACCGTCATATTCGTTGTAAAAGCAGTCGTAATAATGAGATAAAACACATAGACCAGGTGCTTGCAATGTCCTTTCGTTTTATATCTATTCCCATTCTGGTATTACTTAATTTTTGCAAAGGATGTATACATAGTTTGAAATTCTTGAAATCACACACACCCCTCGCCAAGTTACTAAAAGAAAAGTCTCAAGTGTTTACTGTACCCTTAGACTACATTTACATAATTATAGTTGCACCACATTGATCATTGTATACCTGATTTTTATTTCTTCTTCTAAGTCATAATGTTTTCATACCATTTATAAGAAAATCTAGCCATCCCTATGCACCCGTATGCCAAAGCGGACTGAAACTACTATTCGATATGGAATACACGATAAAAAAAATAGCCAAATATCAGGTCTTAGAACGATATGCTTTTGAAAAACGACAAAACAAAAGAAAAATAACCAGCACGCCCATGGCCAGAACTGGCTAAATATTTGAATTACATTGCAAGACCATATGATTATTAGTTTATAAGTTTAAACATATTTTATTTGCAAAAATAGCAAAAGGGATTGGACAACATTAGTGACTTCTATCACTATACAAATACAAACACAAAATACATTAGATGAAACCGAAAATCATAAAAGGAATGCATGTAATACTAATTAGTGTATGAGTTTTCTTGATAACAATGTTGAGTTCACTTATTTTCATTTTCATTAGTATTAATTCTTTTCTCGAAGACCGAATACAAAATATAAGTCAACTCATATTGCGATCCAAAAAACGGCATTGGACATTGATATTCGTAGATAAAAACCATAAATGAGTTTTAGGAGTACTAGAGTATTTTCGGTTAACCGCCGTGATTGTTTTTTCAATTTCATTTGGCCATTAAGTTTTTGTTTTCGTGCTGTGATTAATTGTACACAATTAAATCTTTCAATTCCATTTATAAACGAGGAACGTAAATATGTGCACGAAACAACCAGGCCTGCCAACCTTCACGATTTATGGGGGATTTCCCCCCATAAGAGGATCTAAGAGGTGTTGATCTGAATTTCAAAATTCTTTATTATATAAACTGAACGCCTCAAAACCAGCATTCAAATGAGTTAAAACGGTATTTAAGCACAAACATGCTCATTCAAATTATAAAGTACTGGATTAAAAACACTTATGAAAATATATATAGGAGGAGCATTAGGTCCTCTTCCGCTGAAATGGAGATTTTGGAAAGCACAAGCACAAAAAAACAAAAAACAAAATAAAAACAAAAAAGCTGCGTAAAATGATTATCACACGGATAAATGGTCGATCTGAAATATTTCCGTAACACCATTAAATCAGAAACATATTCATTTTATTACCAATGACAACAGTATACGTCTCTTATTAAAGGAACGACTAAAATAATTTGTAAACACTGGTTCTTAAACTTTAATGTTACCCAAATTTAATAAAAAAGAAAATTAAACTAATACTACGTATAGAATGGAACACTAAAGGTAATTCATTAACATCTATTATTAACTGTAGCCTATTACACTTAAAACTTTGTTATTTATTAACTGTTGACATATGAAACCGTTTCTGACACTCAACAAGTTATAATTAATCCACAAGGCGTTAATTAATGAATTGAATATTTTGCCACGTTAATTAATTTGAGAACTCTGTATAATGATAATATGGGGTGACATGGGGGTGCTTTTTTTCTGAATCAATCTGTTTTGTTATTTTTTGCCCACATTCCACATTTTCCTCTTTTCATAGATCCCACTCCCCCACCCCACCCCCTCTCATTCTCCCACATACCCACTTAAAATTTCCCCTATCCCGCATCCAAAATTATTTATATGAATTTATTCCATATATTAACACTTTATTCTTTTTGGAAAAATTTGAAATCTGATTTAACCTTTCAAGCCAAGTCTGTGAGAATTCTAAACTGGTCCGCCGTTCCATCTATAACTTCAGTGTAGCGATAAGTGAACACAACAGGGGTCCAGTTTATGAGAATTCAAGTGATTTGTGATGTGAGATCATGTGATACTCGATTACCTAAAACAAAGAACGGTAACTCAGGAATTATTCGCATTAGAAATTGAGAAATTAGAAATCTATCATTTATTCCTACAATGTAAACAACCATGACCTGAAGATGGAAGAGATAGGGGAAACTATTTTTGAGGTTTGATAATTTTATCGACAGTTAACAGCTGATAGATAAACATTAATAATAAACAAAACCTAAAATTATGTATTCGAAACATAAACATTGATATTTTGGTCATTTTGAAAAGTTGTCACTTCCAAGTATGTCATGTGAGGATTAATCCCCAAAACGCTAATGTGTGACAGCTAGCACATGTACAGAGCTAAGTATGCATTACACGCATAACACCGGAATAATTGCTCAGTAGAAAGCTTTCAAACTCTCCAGAACATCAGATAAAGGAGTGTTTCATCTGTTTTAGAAAACCATCAGTCTTCAAAAATGATGCATACCTCATTACCTGCCAACTTTTGAAAATCCCCATGGGCATGGGGGTTTTAGTGGTGACAACAATTTCAAAGGTTACAATTCTTTGCGGCGTTTTTTGCGCGTGCTGTTTTGTGCTCTAGAAAAAGTGCAATATCTTTTTTTTTATATGGTATACTGATGATGAGCTTATAAGCCTTTTTCTTCTTTTTATCTGCATGATTCTAGTAATTATATCAGTAGAAGAAATGAACATGTAGCTAGAATACATGTACCAGGATATATTTTCTTGTGAATGTGTAAGAATATTAAATGATTGTTGACTTTCCCAATTTTAAATCATGCACAAAGAAGGACATTTATTTGATCCTTGTGAAAAATAAAGCATAGTACATTGTGCTTTCAATTATTTGGTAATTTAATTAGGTTGGAAACAACCCCTCAAATGAGGGGTAGTCCTTCAATGTAATGACTATCCCTTTTATGAGGGGTATATTTCAAGTGATATAAAATATTTTTTTGTAAAAACCACTTCTTCATGTTCTTAGTACAAAAGGGCACATATTTATATTATTTGATGAAACTTTTCCCAAGGAACTATACATCTATCTGGTATTATATGGTCAAAACATGTCCAAGAATTTTGTAATATTCATGGACTTATATCTTCTTTATTTTTAAAAATAAGTGGATCCCTCTTTTAGTTGTTCCAAATATAATTAATTTTTCCCCCTTTTAAGTTAAAAAAGCAAGGTTTTTCTTTTTTCTTTTATACAACAGCAAAAGTGAACCCCTATCTGGGGGACTGTCCCTCATTTAAGGGATATACCTCCTTTGGGGGGGTTTTCCCAACCTGTTAATTACAAGAATGACAACACTTTAGTGTATGATATGTTACAGTAAGGGTAATGTCAATAAACTACTATTTATTATGTTTATGGTAGTACTGCATCATTGAATTTTGTCAATCAGCCATGCTTTTCTTCTTAAGCTGTGTAAGAACCTTCTTGCAGATGAAAATTCACATGCCATATTCACGAATTTACAATTCTGACAAACACAGAGGAATCCAAACAAGTTCAAAATTTAGCATGTCCAAATAATCATGAGAGAGAACGATTTTGATAGGCTTATTAACTTGATCATGAGAAACACAGACTTTGATTGGCTGATCACGATTGTTTTCCCTTGGGAACAGTTCAAAATCGGGAACAATCATTTTTTTGTGTAGATTTTCACAAAATCGTGTTTTAGAGCTTTTTTCACGACAACGATTGTGCAATCGTGACAAGGGGTCAAAATCGTGTAGTACACGCCTAAATCGTGAAAGTTGGCAGGTATGATGATGATATATTATATTTGATGAAAAGGATATGTTTGGTCAACGTGACAGGAATACGGGTTCGTTCGCCACAATTCACGTTTGCCCTAGTACCTGTACGCCCTGGGTATGTTCGCTCTATTACCTTTTTGTCCTGGTTCCATTCGCCCTGATTTTTAATTCTATTTTGTTGTCTTGTAAAATGTTTATTATTACTCATTCCTCAATAATTCTAGTCAGTCAATTTAGAAAGTCACAGGATAATATTAAATGAATTCATAAATACCTAAATGTTTCTCTTTCATGTACATGTTTTACATTTCGTACATTTTTGTTTTTACTCATTCCAAGCTGACTAGTTTATTTTCTAAAAAAAGCATTGTTTTCATTATTAGTCCAACAAAGACATCATTGATACAACAATCAGTGAGCTCAAAGACATCATAATTATGAACAATGAATGCTCCAAAACAATTTTAAGCCATTAATTTTAAAATATTTCCATGAATTTCTAGAAATATTTATATTTTGTTCAATATTTACCATATAACTATATAAATAAGTTTATTAAACCTTAATACCATTATTATCAATATATTTATGCCCCCGCCAAAGCGGAGGGGGCATTAAGTTTTACCCTTGTCCGTCTGTCCGTACGTCCCAACATTGGTTTCCATTCTCTAACTTAAGTTTGCCTTAACCAAATGTTATCAAACTTATACACAATCCTTATTACCATAAACGACAGATCAAGTTTGAATTTTGGTGGCGTCACGTTAACTGCTCTAGAGTTATGCCCCTTTATAAATAGAAAAAATTGCAAAATTTTTAGTTTTGGTTCTGTAACTTAAGTTTGCCCCAACCAAACATGAAACCTATACACAATACTTATTACCACAAAACTAAGATCAAGTACAAATTTGGGTAGGGTCACTTTTATTATTCTTGAGTTAATGTTATGTCCCTTTTAAAATGATGTATGCAAGCGGGGGCATCATCTGTGTCCATGGGGACATATTCTCCATTTATTTTTTTATAAAATATGGGCGAACAATCCCAGGGCGAAAGGACCCAGGGACAACATGTAATCCAGTGCTCCAGCTAGAAATCAAAAGGGACAGGGTGCCAGTGGAGGGCAGGGCACTTTTTTATGACAGGAAAAGGCACTGCTCATTTCTTTTGTCTATGTTTCTGTGTGTATCACGAGTTCACATTCTTTTTTTTACTGTATATGTTGTTAATAAAGATGCATAAGTTGTTGTTCTGATTATTTATTCTATAAAATTTGCATTAGAAAATGTAATTCATACCACATGTTCATAAAACATGTCAATACACATTCACACATCACACCACTATAAACCAATAGAGGCAAATTAACTAAACATCTCATAGTTTAGAATACATGTGACAGAGTTGTCTGATTTCAAAATTTTCAGCTAGAGTTTGGCCCTCAAAACTTTTTTTTCATTGTTTGTGTTAAGGAATTATTTAGTAAAGCTTCAAGTTGATGTCATGATAGTTTAACTTCACACTGCCCATGCATGGTATTAAGATATGAAAAATAACAGTTAGGCATTGGCTACTACATGTATATCAGTTGAAAAGGTAACAATAATGAAAAATTATTGTTTCATTTAAGACTTATTGGCGGAATGCAAGGTTGGGTTATGAACTGATTAATTACAGACGTAACAATAATATTTATGTGTCTATGGTTACATTGCATTATTGTTACGTCAATACATTAAAATGTATGCTGGGAATAGTAATATATCAAAATAGAACTTGAAACCCTTTTAGTCTACATTAATTCAATAATATTATATTGCATACAATTGTTTATTAAGATTCGCAACTTCTGCACATTAAATAGATCTATGTGCTTTTGGGTGCATGTTTAAGGCTGACACATTTTTTGGTGGAACCACACTTGGGAGCCATGATAAAAAATATCGAACCATTGAACAATATTAATCGCCTTTGGCACTGCTACACTAAAGTATTATCTTGAGGAACATTAAAACAATGAATACTAAACTTCTTACAACAACTTAATTTGTTGAAATGTTATTATAATAACCAAGCATATCGGAGTACTGAGCAACAAAACCAAAGTCTGTTAAATTTAATAAATAGTAACAAAAAAGCAATGTAATCATAGACATGAAGATTATTGTTATGTATGTAATTAATCTGTTCCTAACCCTACCTACAATGTAGCATTCCTGCAGTTTGTCTTTACCATAACCAAAATTTTTTAATTATTGTATTGGTATCACGTCGTCGTCAGCATCGTCTGAAGACATTTGGTTTCCGGACAATAACTTTAGTAAATGTAAATAGAAATCTTATGAAATTTAAACACAAGGATTATAACTACAAAAGGAAGGTTGGGATTGATTTTGGGGGTTATAGTCCTAACAGTTTAGGAATTAGGGGCCAAAAAGGAGCCCAAATAAGCATTTTTCTAGTTTCCAGAAAATAACTTGTGGAATGGTGTATGGATCTCTCTGAAATTATACCACAAGTTTCCATTCCACAAAGGGATGGTTAGGATTGGCTTTGGGGGGTTATGGCACAAACCGTTTTGGAATTAGGGGCAAAAAAGGGGGAAAAACAAGGGTTTCCTGATTAATGGACAATTAAAAAAAGTATAATGTTATGTTTGGATTACCTTCCTTACACTGCTTTTAAATTATGTATACAGAAATGTTGTATTGTCTTGAGGTGATTAGCTGTCAATTTATTTTTAGAAGTTACTATTTAAAAATGCTGATTAACATTATTAATTTTAGCCATGATTATGTTTGTCATTTTCTATTTTAAGACTTTTATGATGTATTTAAATGGGTAATTATGGTTGCAAACTCCATTGGTAATTTGAATTGAGGTTATGACCATATCTTGAGGGAAAGAATTTTTTTTTTGGAAAAGGGGAGGGGGGGGGGGGTAAATATGAAATTGTGAGGGGGGGGGGAATTTTTTCTCATTTCAGATTTCAGAAATTAAAAAGGGGGGGGGGGGAGGTTAATTATTTGCAACAGCATAGTGTAGGGGGGTAAAAAAAAAATTTTGGGGGGGTCAATTCGCAACAGCATAGTGTATTGCACAAAAGCAAAAAATTGAATGTAAATTTAAATCATATAACCAATTCTAAGTTCTTTGACTACAGTTATTCTGTGTCAGAAACCTATTATGTGTCAAATATTTAATTACAATCCAAATTCAGACCTGCATCAAGTGCAAATATCGTGTCCATTTTTGCCCCAACTGTTCAGGGTTGGACCTCTGCGATTGTATCCAGCTGTGCTCAGCGAAGCAATTTGTTAACTTAATTGTAGCCAGTGTCTACATGTATGAGTTCATAGCATAGTTTCAGTCACATTTTAGGAAAAATGCCTCCAAAATAAAGTATATCTTAAAAAATAGCATAAGTAGGAATACTTAGCACAGCAAATAATGCATAGCAACAAAAAAGCTATTCAAATGAAGCAGTCAAAACAAAATACAAAAAAAAACGAAGTGTTAAACCAGTCCACAAAACACTACGATGAACCCCACCAAAATGTGAGTGAGATAATGAAACAGTAAATCTTGTATGGATGTGTCTTCAGTTTATCAAAAGCTGTAAATAAGAAACAAAGATCTGCCATTTAATCATCAGAATTGTTTGACTTGGTAGTTTATAATGTACGTCAATGTAAAATATTGAATTTTGAACACTTCTATATAATATTTGTATATCAAAACATAAATTTATATTATGAAGTTATATGATGGAGTAAAATGTTTTTGAAAAACAAAATTTATAGGTGTTTGGCATAACAAACTAAATTATGAAGCATTTGTACTATACAAGAGCTACAGCAGGAAATACATATAAAATTTGAGTATGTATGTATATGTGAACTTGAACCTTACTAAAACTTTAGAGGACTTTAGAGGAGCAAAGAAAATTATGTCCACAATTATTACTTCAGGATGGTCTTGATTTCGTGCCAGAGACAAAGCCTTACTGCATGCAAATACATGTGTATACATGTGTATACATGTAAGGTGTGTTTATTCTTCAAAAGTCTTATTTCATGAATTCTATGAATACCCTCTTTAAAAATTCCTCAAATCAGGCTGTACAGTGTACTGTAATAAGTATTTTAAATGATGTATAAGGATAAACATACTTTGTACAGCCTGCCTCTTAATGAAAAGCCTGTTTATTCCCTGCAAGGGACAAAGTTTTACCACAGACCAGTACAAGGTAGTCTGTTTCCCTGCATGGGACAAAGTCTTACTCAAGGGTTGCTTTTCTGTTCTAAGACAGTGGGTTGGATAATAGTGAATGTACGGTTGCCTAGTTTAAAAGTAGTATATATATATTGTAGGATTCATTATATAAATTGTCTGGAAACAAAAACAAAGGATTGTTTGGAAAGAATAACCCATGGAAGTTAAGGTATTTTATACTGAAGAAATGTGGAAATCAACCTGTGTTGGAATGTTACAGCAAAAAGCCAAAAAACAGGACTACAGCACCGAAAGGTAATTTACTATATAACTGCAAAAAACAGACCTACAAAAACAGGTACAGTACAGAATGGTAATGTACAACGAACTGCAAAAAAAACTACATTACCGAAAGGTAATATACATTACATTATCGCTATTTTCTAAAATTTTGCTTTGATCATGTTGATGTTTTTATGTGAAACTTTTTCATATCATCATGATCATGCTACTCGAGTGATATGAGTTTTTCTCAGTCTAGAAAAAAAGAATGTATGACGTCATGAGCCTACATCATTAATGTTGCCTAGGAGACACGATAAACAGATTATCAATGGTCTTTCATACTCCATGTTCCTCGGCTACATCTCATCTCAGGGCTGTTGCCATTCGATGAGATTGTAGCTGAGAAACACCCTCTCGTTTGAAAAATCATTGATAATCTATAAATATAGAACTGCAATGCAGAAAGGAACTGTACAATGTACCAAAAAATAGAACGTCAGTACCAAAAGGTAATGAACAAAATAACTGCAAAAACAAAACTACAGTCCTCAAAGTAATGAACACCGTAACAGCAAAAATAACAGTACTGAAAGGCAATGTACAATGTAAATCAGAAATACAGTCTTCAAACTTAATTCTATAACAAAATGCAATAGACCACTTTCAAGTTTGTTGCATTTCTGTCAAAAACATTGGTTTTAATAGTGAACATCATTTGTGCGTTTAGGGGCATCGTCACTTCCTTCCCATGTTGAGCGAGCGGTTGAAAAAAATATGATGCTATATTGCACTAATTATTCAGCAAATTAGATTCTTATAATTGATAATCAACACTGCTGTCATTAGGGAATTGTGATTAAGTACCCTAAGAATAAACATTATTTCTAGTTTATCCTGCATAATGATGATCACGAAGATGCGTGATGAACTTTAATAGTGCAAGGATACAGGCCGTCCCCTCTATCTTGTAAATAACGTCATAAAGGCTCGCATAATTAACGAACTTTTCTGGTGAAGGATATAACTCGAAAGTGGTCTATTGACAAGTTAAAAATGAACCCAAGGGACATATTTCAGCACAAAAGACAAAAATGACAAATATGTACATATAAAAATAAGAAGATGTGGTATGATTGCCAATGAGACAACTCTCAACCAGAGATCAAATGACATACATGTATATGTTTGTGTGCATGATAAGCTCTCACTTTTTTAGTCCCCTACCAACGAAGTCGAAGGGGACTTTAGGTTTGCACTCCGTCCGTCTGTCCATCTGTCCATCTGTCCGTCTGTCCGTCTGTCCATCCGTCAGTCCGGCAAATCAGCTTTCCACCCTTTTTTTCTTCGTTCTTGAAGATATTGATTTGATATTTAGTATATAGTTTTATCATGACAAGTTATAGATCAAGTTCGAATTTTGTTCCGGTCTGATGATTTAGTCCAGAGTTATGGACCATAACTCTGGACCATATCTAATGTTGGAGTACTATGTTAAACCATATTTCTGTACAAAGGGAGATAACTCATTTTTTAAAGACATTCTTTGTTAAATCATTTGAAGAATTTTTTGACAGGCTTGTTTGTTATTTAGTATAAACTAATTTTCTGAATGCTATATATATCAAAAACAATTATGAAGAGAAATCCTTTAATTAGATAATAATCTATTTTTATTAATGTATATATTTCGATACATTACATTGTGTAGAACAAAGTTGTTGACATTTTATAGATAAGTTACAAATCTATATTAGTTTGTGACAAATGAAAGAAAAAAAAATTTGGAACTATTAATTATATCTGATTATAATTTGAAATAGATATACACTGTATTACATCATATCTAATTCTAGAGAACTATTAATCATATCTAATGTTTTTTTCATCATGCTTATAAGATATTGATTGATAATTGGTATATAGTTTTATCATGACAAGTTACAGATCAAGTTCAAATTTCGTTCTAATAATTTTGTGCAGAGTTATGGTCCTTGGACTTGAAAAATTCACTCATATAATCAGTTTTCAACACTATTTTTAGTCATGCTTGAAGATATTGACATGATATTTACTTTTTGTTTACACCATGACAAGTTATAGAACAAGTTAGCATTTTGTTCCAGTATAATGAATTTTTACCCGGTATATATAGGGGACTATGTATTGCCATGCAATACTCTCAGAATGCTTGTTATCTTCTTGTTTTACTTTCTGGAATTGTCAGATATGTATTTGAAAAGTTTTGATTTAAGCTCCATAAATAATATGCATGAAGGGAAAAAACCAAAACAAAACAACAAAGAAAAAAAAAAGACCCTTGGATTGATTGGGGTCTTCAAGTCTGTTTTTCTGTAAAACCCACATTATCATGACTGTTATTATTAGCAATGTAGGTATACACATTCAAGTTTAAACTAGTTATGAAAAATATTACATTGTGCTTAGTATTAACCATTTCCTGAAGAAAAGATTTAATAATTGTTTAACAAATATTTTATTGTAGAGAAAATCCCACTACTGCCTGGGTTCCATTTAGAGAAAGTAACAAATACAAAAAACCGAGCTTATGTCTTCGAACTTACAAGCCAGGATAAATATTTGTGTTTATCAGCTGACGAGCAAAAAAATATGGATGTCTTCGTCTTCTTGTTGATGTCTCAGCTTAAGCTAAAAGAACAAATTAAAGGTTTGGAAGTCATAGAGACATTTACTATGCAATTAGAATTTATTCTATTTATGACATACTAATTCTTTGTGGATTTAAAAATTAGTGCAAGCCAGTATTTTTTTGTACACTGAAATACACAATAGAAAATTGATAAAGAAGACTTTATGTATCATCAACAAACAACTTCCCTTACTCGGAGCATAACACACACCGGGTATCCTGATCTTAAATCCGCAAAGGGATTAGAACTTGTGTGGTCATCGGTTAACCGGTTAACCATCAGAAGGACTGAATATCAAATACCAAAAAGGCTAACTGGTTAACCGGACCTTTTTTCAATTCTAATATATTCGACATAAATATATATTGACATCATTAATAAATGTTTCAAATGATAGTCGTGCTAATTGATTTGACATATCATGCTAATTGATTTGACATATCAATTGTCAGTCTTTTGATGACTATTATTAACCTTGAAAACACTCCAATTTTACAAAATTAATTAACACGAAGACAACTTGTCTATCAGCACGGGCCAAAATCTAAAGTAAACATAATTAGCGTACATGTATTTCGAACTGTTGTAAGCTGGTTAAATTTTACAATTTACTTCATTATTTCACTTTGATATAATATTGCGTAGACCTACATGTAATAATGCCACCTCCATCGTCTAAGAAGTTTGTCATACTTCAAACAAAATGCTGAGTCAAAGATGGTAAAACGCAAATTATGTGAATGGAATTAATCTATAATACCGTGTGGTACGATCGCGAGTAACAAGCTTAATCATCTCAAATTGAAACACTCCATATAATGTTCTGAGACACCAGAGAAAATGAAACAATCACCGGTTTCAGACTTAGTAAATTCGCCGATATCAAGAAGATTTTCATCTTCTAAATCTGAAGTTATTACAAATGCCATAGTAGATATAGTAGTATCGGATTATTGAACATGAAACTTTACCAGGGCTGCTCAAGGCCAAGATTTATAATGCACAATATGAAAGTAAGGAGATGTGGTATGATTGCCAATGAGACAGCTATCCACCAAAGTTAGCATATACTTCAATTCATCTTATCATTAAACTGTGCATTTGTAGAGAGTACTGACAATTTTTAAAACATCAACTTAACTACCGGTTAACCGGTTAATCGGTCGAAAGATTGTTCGAGTAACCAGTTAGACAAAACTGTTCAATTTGACAACACTAATTAGAATCCTGAGGTGCAATAACACTTTGTTTAGTGTAATTCGTAAATATAATCAGGATCTGATTCCCACAGAGGATTATGATCCCTGGGAATAGGATCAAGATTTTATTTTCCCACCGTGTTGCAGTCTCATGTTATTGGTCCTCTGGATTTGGATCCGTCGACTGATTTTGGATTTGGATACCTGGTGCGATAATAATTAGTATACATCAAATTAGTACATGTACAAGTCTCATATTGATTGATTCTTGGTTGCTTAACTTCCAGCGACATTTATTTCATTCCATATGTTGAGATAATGTTGAACAATTTTTTATACGACCGCAAAAAAATTTTGTGGTCGTATATTGGTATGACGTTGGCGTCCTCGTCGTCGTCGTCGTCGTCGTCGGCGTCGTCGTCGTCGTCGTCCGAAGACACATTGGTTTTCGCACTCTAACTTTAGTTTAAGTGAATGGATCTTTTTGAAATTTGACCATAAGGTTAAATACCACAAAAGGAAGGTTGGGATTGATTTTGGGGGTTATGGTACCAACAGTTAAGGAATTAGGGGCCAAAAATAAGCATTTTCTAGTTTCCAGACAATAACTGTGCAACAGTGTATGGATCTCTCTGAAATTATACTACAAGTTTCCATACCACAAAGGGATGGTTAGGATTTGCTTTGGGGGGGTTATGGCTCAAACCGTTTAGGAATTAAGGGCAAAAAAGGGGGAAAAACAAGGTTGTCCTGGTTAATGGACAAATACTTTAGTACAAAACATAATTTAAAGCAGTGTAAGGGAGATAAATCAAATACATCATTGAAATTATCTCCCTTACACTGCTTTTAAATTATGTATAAAGTAATGGTTAATGAACAATAAAGATAATTTAAAACAGTGTAAGGGAGGTAATCCAAATACAACGCTTTGGTTACTTCCCTTACACTGCTTTTAAATTATGTTTAAAGAAATGCATATTTATAAAGGAAGACCAGTAAAAATATCTGCAAATGTTGCATCTTTTTTTTTTACAAAAAAATCCATATAAAAGATTTGACACTATATTTTTAATTCTATTATAAAATAGATTAAGTTAGCACTATGGTAAATTTAAATGGGTAATTATGGTTGCCAACTCCATTGGAAATTTGAATTGAGATTATGACCATATCTTGAGGGAAAGAATTTTTTGGGGGAAAAAAGGTGGGGGGGGGGGGGGATAAAAAAAAATTGTGGGGGGTCAATTTTTTCTCATTTCAGATTTCAGAAATTAAAAAGAATTATTCTTCAAATATTATTTTTTTTTCAAATTTCAAATATTGAAAAATTTCAAGAAGTAATCTTTAATTGCACAGCATGGCGCATTAGATTTGTAAAATCTTTGATCACATTTATATATTTGTTATGCCGAATCTAACAGTGTATTTAGATTTTTAATTTTGGGTCCAGTTTTCAAATTGGTCTACATTAAGGTCCAAAGGGTCCAAAATTAAACTTTGTTTGAATTTAGCAAAAATTGAATATATGAGGTTCTTTGATATGCTGAATCTAAACATGTATTTAGATTTTTGATTTTTGGCCCTGTTTTCAAGTTGGTCCAAATTGGGGTCCAAAATTAAACTTTGTTTGATTTCAACAAAAATTGAATATATGGGGTTCTTTGATATGCTGAATCTAACCATGTATTTAGATTTTTTATTTGTGGGCCCTGCTATCAAATTGGTTCATATTGAGGTCAAAAGGGTCCAAAATTAAACTTTGTTTGATTTCATCTAAAATTGAATTATTGGGGTTCTTTGATATTCCAAATCTAACCGTGTATTTAGATTTTTAATTTTGGGTCCCGTTTTATAATTTGGTCTACATTAAGGTCCAAAGGGTCCAAAATTAAACTTAGTTTGATTTTAACAAAAATTGAATTCTTGGGGTTCTTTGATATGCTGAATCTAAACATGTGTTTAGATTTTTGATTTTTGGCCCAGTTTTCAAGTTGGTCCAAGATAGGGTCCAGTATTTAAACTTTGTTTGATTTCAACAAAAATTGAATATATGGGGTTCTTTGATATGCTGAATCTAAACATGTATTTAGATTTTTGATTATGGGCCCAGTTTTCAAGTTGGTCCAAATTGGGGTCCAATATTAAACTTTGTTTGATTTCAACAAAAATTGAATATATGAGGTTCTTTGATATGCTGAATCTAACCATGTATTTAGATTTTTTATTTGTGGGACCCGCTATCAAATTGGTTCATATTGAGGTCAAAAGGGACCAAATTAAACTTTGTTTGATTTCATCAAAAATTGAATTATTGGGGTTCTTTGATATTCCAAATCTAACCGTGTATTTAGATTTTTAATTTTAAGTCCCGTCTTTTAAATTGGTCTACATTAAGGTCCAAAGGGTCCAAAATTAAACTTAGTTTGATTTTAGCAAAAATTGAATTCTTGGGGTTCTTTGATATGCTGAATCTAAACATGTGTTTAGATTTTTGATTATGGGCCCAGTTTTCAAGTTTGTCCAAGTTGGGGTCCAAAATTAAACTTTTTTTTATTTCAACAAAAATTGAATATATGGGGTTCTTTGATATGCTGAATCTAACCATGAATTTAGATTTTTTATTTGTGGGCCCCGCTATCAAATTGGTTCATATTGAGGTCAAAAGGGTCCAAAATTAAACTTTGTTTGATTTCATCAAAAATTGAATTCTTTGGATTCTTTGAAATGCTGAATCTAACCATGTATTTTGATTTTTGGGCCCCGTCATCAAATTGGTCCACATTGAGGTCGAAAGGGTCCAAAATTAAACTTTGTTTGATTTCATCAAAAATTGAATTCTTTGGATTCTTTGATAAGCTGAATCTAACCATGTATTTTGATTTTTGGGCCCCGTCATCAAATTGGTTCATATTGAGGTCAAAAGGGTCCAAAATTAAAATTTGTTTGATTTCATCAAAAATTGAATTCTTTGGATTCTTTGATATGCTGAATCTAACCATGTATTTTGATTTTGGACATTTGACCATAATAGGTAAATTAAAAAAATTCAAGTTCTTAGACCACATTCTTTCTGTGTCAGAAACCTATGCTGTGTCAAATATTTAATAACAATCCAAATTCAGAGCTGTATCAAGCTTGAATGTTGTTTCCATACTTGCCCCAACTGTTCAGGGTTCGACCTCTGTGGTCGTATCAAGCTGCGCCCCAGCGAAGCATTTTATTACTCTTTTCAAAAGAAAATTTATGGTAAAAAAGAATTTATTTATATTCATAAATAGCAAACACACACGAGGAATAATACAACTCTCAGAAAATGCTGGGATCCCACTAACATGTTTAACCCCGCCACATTCTGTATGTATGTGCCTGTCCCAAGTCAGGAGCCTGTAATTCAGTGGTTGTCGTTTGTTTATGTGTTACATATTTGTTTTTTTCATTCATTTTTTGTACATAAATTCGGCCGTTAGTTTTCTCGTTTGAATTGTTTTACATTGTCATTTCGGGGCCTTTTATAGCTGACTGTGCGGTATGGGCTTTGCTCATTGTTGAAGCAACAATGGTGACCTATAGTTGTTAATATCTGTGTCATTTGGTCTCTTGTGGAGAGTTGTCTCATTGGCAATCATACCACATCTTCTTTTTTATATTGCAGATGAAGATAATGTTGATTGGTAAATAAATTTATGTAGTACATGTATATGAATTCGGTATCAAAATGACACAACACACTTAGAGTTTATAACATGTTCAGCTGATTATTTTCTGTGATTTATCTTAACAAGTTTTATTTCAGATGATTTTATCATTGTGAAGCCAGAGAACTCTGATGTTAACAGAAGAATAGGAGCAAAGGGAACTAACTGTATTTTACACATCTCCCCATGGGGAGTAACTCTTGCTTTACAAGCAACAAGGACAGTGTTGGCACAATGGCCATTAAAAAGCATCAGATATTTTGAAGGGGGTAAAAATCAATTTATGCTGGAAGCAGGACGTGTGGCCCCAATGGGAGATGGGACCTATATATTTCACACAGAGGATGGAAAAGAAAACTATGCTTACGACTTACTAGACCAGAGGATTGTTGATGCCTTGACCAAAATGCAGGTTAGTAGGTTTAAGCTTTAGGCTATTCTTAAATCAAAATATTATCTTATGAATTTATGTTGCAAGATTGTTTCAATTCATTTATACTATAGACATTTGAAAAAGTGCAGATAGGCCAAGGAGTGGTAAAACAATGAATATATTATCCTTCCTTCCAAATGTGAACATGTCATGCACTAACTCAAGTATGTTTTGTGTGATTTACTTAAAGCTTTACTGAATTATTAAGAATAAAAGTCTGAGGGTCAGTATACAATTACTTTTGTATTTCCATAAAATGATTTGCACTTTAAATGATTTTCAAAGTTACAGAATTTTAATTGGAAAAAAATTAGACAATATTTCATATGTACAAAATAACTAAAGCTTCACTGACTGTACAAGTTTTTAATTCAATATTCTGTATGAAATCTACACTCATTGATTTGTAGGATACTGGTGCAATTGTTCATTTGCAGTTGAAATGGCAGATAGAATTTCAGGAAATTTATTTTAAAATGATATTATTTTAATTGGTCCATCCAAAGCATGGAATTTTTTTTTCTATAATGATGAACATATATAAAAATAAGAAGATGTGGTATGATTTCCAATGAGACAACTCCCCACATGACCAAATGACACAGAAATTAACAACTATAGGCCTTCAGCAATGAGTAAAACCCATACTGCATAGTCAGCTATAAAAGGCTCAGGAATGACAAATGTAAAACAATTCAAACGAGAAAATTAATGTCCTGATTTACGTTCAAAATAATGAATGAAAAACAAATATGATATACATCAGGTATAACCTGGGACAGTGTTGTAACAGTACAACAAATGAACAAACTATAAAAATCAGTTGAAAAGGGCTTTTAAAACTCATTAGATCGATACAAAGCAAAAAAACAAGTAACAAAAACACAGAGTGGATGTGGCAGGGTACTCATACATCTCCACAACAAAAAGACACTATGTACAGATCTGAGAGTACTCGCAGTTATTGACAGCTAGATCAAAGCCAATAAAAACTAATAAAAAAATCATGCATCTGAGACTAAAATAACAATCAGTACACATCCAACTTCCAATGGATTTAGTGTAAAGACGTCATTAACAGTCAGAGAAAAACATGACCTTGTGCAATGCCAAGATACAGGTATCGACAGATTGTAGAGCCATGAAATTGCATATGTATATAAAAATATTATTTAGTTTGATTTTAATTTACCGATAACAAAATCAATATTAATACCAATAAAAACAAAATTCAGAGATCTAATTATAGTGTTGAATTGAATATGTAAATTTCAAATATTTTGGGCAGGAAAAATGGTATCAAGGAAAAAAATAGTTAATTGTCTATTTTGGTATAATTCCAGGGTCCTGTGGTCAGTTTTACTGTCTTATATATTTGGTTATTCCTGTAATCCTTTTTATGTAGCATCTTTTCCACTTAGAGCTATCAAGCTCTTTGACTATGTCGATTAGGTAATCTCTTTAATATGATTGGTTTAAGCTGTCTATTCTTTAAACATTCAAATGTTTTTAGCATATTTTCTTTTAATACAGCCTGGTAGAAGGGGGACAACAGAAGAGATGGAAGATTATGTATTAGAATCAAACAATTTGACCTTGCTGACCTCTGTAATACCTTGTATGATAAATCATCCTGATCATATACACATCATGAGGGACAACTGGAATATTGATATTAATGGTTAGTTATATTTAGGGTTAACGAGGTGAAAGGTTTTGCAAGTTAGTAGCCAAAGTTAACAAAGGGGATTTCCCATTGTAAACATGATTATGATATGAATTTATCAGCTTTACAGATAACTATAGGTAAATACTTCACACACAAAAATTACAGAAAATCGTTATATATTGTTCTTTTTATGCCGCCGCCGTAGCAGAGGGGGCATTAAGTTTTACCCTTGTCTCTCTGTACGTACGTCCGTCCGTACGTCCCAAAATTGGTTTCCGTTCTCTAACTTTAGTTTGCCTTAACCAAATGTTATGAAACTTATACACAATGCTTATTACCACAAAACACAGATCATGTTTGAGTTTTGGTGGCGTCACTTTTACTGTTGAGTTATGCCCCTTCACAAATGGAAAAATTGCTGAAATATTCGTATCAGTTCTCTTACTTTAGTTTGCCTCAACCAAATGTTATGAAACTTATGCACAATGCTAATTACCACAAAACACAGATCAAGTTTGAATTTTGGTGGCGTCACTTTTACCGTTTTAGAGTTATGCCTCTTTACAAATGGAAAAATTGCTGAATTTTTTCGTTTCCGTTCTCTAACTTTAGTTTGCCTCAACGAAATATTATGAAACTAATAAACAATGTGTATTACCACAAAACTCAGATCAAGTACAAATTTGGGTAACTTCACTTTTACAGTTCTTGAGTTATGTCCCTTTATAACGTTATATGCAAGTGGGGGCATCATCTGTGTCCCATGGACACATTCCCCATTTATATTTATTGTAATGTTCTAATCATAATATAAATCTATTGCGTAAAGATTGTTTAGTTGTTTTTTTGTACAAGAAAATACTGGCAAAGCCAAAGGTATTATTCATTGATTCAATTTAAAAACTATTGTTGTTCAAATAAAGGCAACAATTATTACAATCATGTTGATTGCACTTACATCTATCGACAGAGAATATTGAATACAAGTGTCACTCAGTGGTTATAAAATGGTATTCAGTGTAATGATGCCATAATTTAGTTGTGCATTCCTTTTGAAAATAATCTTAAAAGTGGGAAAGGTATAATTTTGGAATAAACTTAACAATTTTTTTTATAATACAGCAATAAAAAAGTTGTAATTCAAAGTTCTACTAAAATTTGAAGTCTGGTAAGACGTATATCCCATATTTATAGTGCATTCGAGACAATAAAACGGCAAGATGAAAATTGATAAAAATTACGCAGATCTTAGATTAGTGTAAATATAAAAATACCCTTAAATAGAATATCTGGCACTATTATTTGCCTGTGAATTTTGAATATCATGTGGAATATTTTACCAAATCTTGTACAAATAATGTTTTTAGGAAACACAATAAGAACGAGACCAACAGTTCATGTCAGGCAGACAAGTAATGCGAGTGAAACAGGGTAAGATTTGACGAGATTAAAAATGGCACATATTTTAACTGATTATTTAACAATTATTATACCACGAGGATTGAAAGTGGTAATATGCTATAAATAATTAACATATTAACTGATTCCATGCCTTGCTGTGGGAGGGAACTATATATGTAGATCAGAAAAATATCTGTTCACCTCCTAGAATGAGGTCGTTATTGGACAATTATTCTCATAGATAAGTTCTGCATGTAGATATAGATTAATTGAGTGAGTAATAGGAACAAGCCAAACAGTTTGTATTGTGATAATACATATATGCCCATAACTGATAAACTGTTTGTTTTGATGTTTTTCATGAAAACAATGTTTTTATACGACCGCAAAAAAAATTTTGTGGTCATATATTGGTATGACGTTGGCGTCGTCATCGTCGTCGTCGTCGTCGTCGTCCGAAGACACATTAGTTTTCGCATTCTAACTTTAGTTAAAGTGAATGGATCTCAATGAAATTTTACCATAAGGTTCAATACCACAAAAGGAAGGTGAGGATTGATTTTGGGGGTTATGGTACCAACAGTTAAGGAATTAGGGGCCAAAAAGGGGCCAAAATAAGCATTTTTGTAACTTCCAGACATAACTTGTGTGTAAGTGTATGGATCTCTCTGACATTGTACCACAAGGTTCCATATCACAAAGGGAATGCTGGGATTGATTTTGGGGGTAATTGCCTCCAAATTTTAGGAATAAGGGGCCAAAAAGGGGCAAAAAACAAGCATTTTTCCAGTTTCATGACAATAACTTGTGTGTAAGTGTATGGATCTCTCTGACATTGTATCACAAGGTTCCATATACCAAAGGGAATGCTGGGATTGATTTTGGGGGTAATTGCCTCTAAATTTTAGGAATTAGGGGCCAAAAAACAAGCATTTTTCTAGTTTCATGACAATAACTTGTGTGTAAGTGTATGGATCTTTATGAAATTGTACTACAAGGATCCATATCACAAAGGGAAAACTGGAATTGAGTTTGGGGGTAATTGCCCAAAAAGTTAAGGAATAAGGGGCCAAAAAGTGGCCAAAAATAAGCATTTTTCTAGTTTCCAGACAATAACTTGTGTTCAAGTGTATGGATCTCTCTGAAATTGTACTGCAAGGTACCATACCACAAAGGGAAGGCTGGGATTGATTTTGGGGGTAATTCCCTCAAACTTTTAGTAATTAGGGGCCATAAAAGGGCAAAAAAACGAGCATTTTTCTAGTTTCAGGACAATAACTTGTGTGTAGGTGTATGGATCTTTATGAAATTGTACTGCAAGGTTCCATATCACAAAGGGAAAGCTGGGTTTGAGTTTGGGGGTAATTGCCCTAAACGTTTAGGAATTTGGGGCCAAAAAGGGGCCAAAAAACAAGCATTTTTCTTGTTTCCAGACAATAACTTGTGTTCAAGTGTATGGATCTCTCTGAAATTGTACTGCAAGGTACCATACCACAAAGGAAAAGTTGGGGTTGAGTTTGGGGGTGATGAATCATAAGGGGGTTCATAAAATTGGGGGGGGGGGGGGTGGGGATTTTTTTTTCCTTTTTTTTCTTTAAAATTTTCCATTTTAAATTGGTTATTTCTGATTTATATATAAAAGCAAATAATAATGATATGGTTTGAATATATAAATTAAAATTTTTTAAGTTCTTAGACCACTTTCATTCTGTGTCAGAAACCTATGCTGTGTCAAATATTTAATTACAATCCAAATTTAGTGCTGTATCAAGCTTGAATGTTGTGTCACTACTTTCCCCAACTGTTCAGGGTGCGACCTCTGTGGTCGTATCAAGCTGCGCCCCAGCGGAGCATTTTATTGTCAAATGTTTTGGTATGATTCTTTTATTATTAGTCTAACATTTAGTTACCTTTATAACTCGAAATCAAAGTTGATAATGTCAAATCAAATATTTTTTTTGTCACGAAACTATGAACAAAATTTTTAGAAAAAGTGAACAAAATTAACATGCATGGAACACTAATAATCTCACTGTCTACAGACAGCATAGTTACAACTCAGTGGTAAAATCCACAAATATTCACTCTGTGGTTAAAGTTTTTGAAATTTTAATAACTTTCCTAAACTATCCTGGATTTCTACCAAACTTGGACAGAAGCTTGTTTATGATCATAAGATAGTATCCAGAAGTAAATTTTGTAAAAAAAAAATTTCCTGTTTTTCAGTATTTTACTTATAAATGGACTTAGTTTTTCTGCCAGGAAACATTACATTCACTCTGTGGTTAAAGTTTTTTAAATTTTAATAACTTTCTTAAACTATCCTGGATTTGTACCAAACATGGACAGAAGTTTGTTTATGACCAAAAGCTAGTATCTAGAAGGAAATTTTTATTAAAATTTTGTATTTGTTTATCCATATTTTACTTATAAATGGACTTAGTTTTTCTTCCAGTTAACATGAGATACAGTTTTATGACTGCCAATGAGACAAATATCCACCATAGAACAACGAACTAGGGTGTAAATAACTCCAGGTTATTGTACAGCCTTCAATTATGAACAAAACCCTTAACAAATGGTAAAATATAAAAAGGCCTCTGAATAACAAAAGGTGGAAACCTAACATCCTGATTCTTTGCACATTTTAAAAGACCTGAAATATAACTGAAAGTGGTAAATAGGTGTCCTGTTGTTTTGCGTAGTTTGGTAACTTATCCAATATGTCTTTATCTCATGAAGTGAGATTTATATCATCATGACCTTCTTCATGTCTACCAAAATTTCAAATTTTCTACATTCATCAAATAAGCATGAAATATTTACCACTTGTTAAAAAAGCAGATAACAAACAACCAAACCACTAGATTTGTGTTTGTCTGCTTGAAACATTTGGTGGGGAACATTTTATTCAAATTATATTTAAGGCATAAATTGAACAATTTTATCAAGTAAAGCCTTCAGATTTTCGGCAAAATAAGTTTTAAACTTCATTAGAATGTGATGAAAATAGTGATATTCATTCCAATTCGCTTGTCAAACATTGTTTATTTTCGTTAATTTTTCTTCGACTGCCATTGAAATATTTGTCAAACCACGGATTGGATGCAGGATTCTTCAGAAGCGGACTAGCTTTGACCAAAATCCACATTTTTACGATAATAACTACAGACGCACAAATGGCACAGCTGACAGAATAATAATGATCCCAAAAGGGAAAACTATGCATTCAGCACGCATTTGCAGACTATTTGTTAGATCTCCTTGCTAAATTTATTAATTTCTATGTAAATGCATTGTTTCAATTTTCTGATTAAAGTAGCTTAACTTTGTTAAAAAAATATATCTTTTTTCATAAGAAACAGATGGGACTAAAACATTGAGTCCCAGGAAACAATGAATTTCATAAACATGATAAACAGAATACCTTTTAATTGAAATGTTTTTACTATATGATACTTTCTTTCCTTTTTAATATAAAAAAAGTTCTTTTTTGTACTAGATATTTAGTTGGTAGTTTCTGACAAGAGGAAAATTGTAATTCTGTAACTATAAATGAACATTGAAGACATAAACGGAAACAAATGTTATACCAGTACTTTAATTGTATTCACAGTTATGAAATGAACAATATAAACATTACCTACCTTTGAATTTGAGCCACCCAAAATGAGGCAGTACTTGTCTTCTCAATTTCCAGTACTGAGTCAGCCATCTTAATTGTGATAGAGCCCAACTGTTTACAATTATTGATGTAATTGTGTTGTTTATGACTTACTGTACCTAGTTAGCAATGGTTTCTGTACAATGTGGGTGTTGAAATCCAATCTCATTAGTATTTTATAATTTTTTATAATAGTCTACAAATTTTGTAGTATAAATCTTTACAAATCCTACATACAGTCAAAAGAACTTATTTTGAAATATTGATAACCATTCTGCTGACACTTTCTTTTGTTCATTGAATAAGAAAAAAATTACACATATGTTTATATAACAATAGGTCTGATCTTTGCACACCTTTCTTCTGTTCGTTAAATAAGAAAAAATATACATATGTTTATATATCCATAGGTCTGATCTTGGTACACCTTTCTTCTGTTTGTTGAATAAGACAAATTTGACATATATGTTTATATATCAATAGGTCTGATCTTGGAACACCTGGTACACCTGGTCCACCTCTGCCAAGTAGGAGACCAGATACACCATCAAGCAGATATTTGGCAAGTAGTTCTCCTGCCAGACAACAATCATCAAAAGTGGCGTCAGCATCAGTTGTCAACTCCAGTTTTCAAAAAAGTAATTCTTCATCATCATTAGTGAGTAGACCACCACTTCCACCACCTACAGCAGGAGCCTTATCTAATTCTCAGCGCTCTCGTCCAGTGCCAGCTCCATTGCATAGAAGCAGTACTGCTGATGGTTATTTGAGAATGAACTCTATGTCTGCCGTAAAAACAATAGCCCAAAATTCAGTGCCACCGTTTTCACCTACGGGTGAGTGGAGTCCCCCTCCATCTTTTCAGGAAGCTACAAGTTATAGTTTAATGAATCCTGTACAGGTCGGCAGAGATGGTTACTTAAATCCCAGAACTAGCATTATTGAACTTCAAGAAATAGCACTAGAAAAATTTAATCAAAATGTGCCTGAGACTTATCTTTCTCCCACTGCTGAATATGAAACAACATTCAATACAAGTAGTTTGCCACGAGAAACAGGGTCAAAATCTAAGCCATCAAATAACCATGATAATCATTATAGATTGCGCTCCATGAGCTGTGAAGACATTAAAAAGGGTCAAATGAGACAACGGGCGAGAACTGCCAACTCACGACAGGATGCTAAAAATAATTCACGAGAAACTACAACTGCAGAACCTTTTCCTCGTATTCAAGAATTTAAGGGAAGTATGGAATTACTGTTACAAGATGAACGTGGATATTATAATATTGATGGACTCAAGGGTACTATTGATTCTAGTCATGCACCTACAGTTGCTGAAGTGCTCCAAAAGTTTGATGAAACGGCCAAACCAACATTAACAAGAGCGATTTCTAATCCTAATTTCTTACAGTTGCTAAACAAAGACAAGTTAAATGATATACGAGTAGAAAAAGCCAGATCAATCCATGGTTCGAATCCAAACCTTAATAAAAAGAGTAAGTCTTTACTCAACTTATTCAAACGTTCTAATAAGGAAAAGTCATCAAATACCAAGGAAGAAGGTTATGCCTCAAACAAAGCTAAAAGTCTACCAAATAGTCCATGTAACTCATTACAACGTCAGTATAGTCATCCTAATATTTCTATTAATGTGAAAGGCATTCATGTGACAGGAAGAACTAGATCTTTTAGAAAACCTAGGCAATATGAAAAATCTCCACAAATTCAAAGAAAGGATGGGAAATCTCCACAGCCACTAAGGAAAGATGGAAAATCTCCCAAATTTAAACGCAAGGAAGATAAATCACCACAGTCATACTACCGACATGAGAGAGCAGCATCAGATCCACTGGTACTAGAGCAACATTCACCACAACCTACACGTAGAACAAGACATGATGTTACGCCTTCTGTGTCTTCCTCAGAAAACGAATTCGCCAATGCCAGACCAGTTTGTCCAAGTCGTCAGGCTTCATCTAGTTCTATAGGACATAAAGTACATACTGTTTGTTAGATAATTCTCACAATAGTTAGAAACATGTTATCACTTTTTATCTACTGAAAATTACTCTTGGTACTGCTTTATTTACAGAAAAATACACATCATGCCATATATGCATTTTGTTTTCAGTTTTTTCAAAAGGTTAATGTAAGAAAGATAAATTACCATAGTAACCATTAAATACAATTTGTGTATTGAAACATTTACATACAAAGAAATCCCAAGGAAGGAAACATGTTAATAGCACTTAAGGGCATACAATACAGTAGCATGTGCAGATAATAACACATCAAAAATATAACATGCTGTTTAGGCATCTTTGCTAATGATAGGCATTTAAAATTCACCAAAAATATTTTTGCATTAAGAATACACTGTGTTGTAATTTAGCACCAACAATATTTCATATTTTTTTCCAAAGGGCCAAGTGATCTTTTCTCATCACTTGGCATTCCTCGTCTGTTGTCCTTCAGCGTCTGTTAACTTTTCTTCTCTTCTGAAACTACCAGACCAAATTTAACCAAACTTGGCCACAATCATCATTGGGATATCTAGTTTAAGAAATGTGTCTGATGGCCTGCCAACCAAGATGGCCGACATGGCTAAAAAAATTACATAGTGGAAAATGCAAGTTATGTCTATTATTTTAAAAACCGTTATAAATAGAAAAATTCTGACAAGGTCAAAAATGTTTAGAATGTTGAGCTCTACCTATTGTTCAATGACGTCGAAACTGTCAGGCAACTTCTTATAGGAGTTATTGCCTTTAAATGACAAATTTTACTATTTTTTTTTTTTATTTTTGCCTTTTATCTTGAAAACTATAATAGATGGGGAGAAACTTTAAATTTCAAAAAGGATCAGCAAGACAAAATCTATGAATAAGTATGCATGGTCTTGATAGTCATTCGACTCCTAATTATAATTATTGCCCTTTGATGACAATTTTTACCAATTTTTTGCGTTTTTGCCTTATATCTTAAACATTTTAATAGATAGATAGAAACTTAGAGAAGCTAAAATGATCAGCAAGACAAGATCTACATTTAAGACTAATGGAGGAAATTTTCTGATGACTTATTATTTGAGTTATTGCCCTTAAATGACGATTTTTACCAATTTTTATGCGTTTTGCCTTATATGATTAAAATTATAATAGATAAATAGAAACTTTAAATACAAAAATGATCAGCAAGGCAAGATCCACAAAAAAGTCAAATTTTGCCGATATAGTTAGTAGACTCACTGTTCATAGGAGTGATTGCCCCTAAATGAGGATATTTTTTACCCCTTATGTGTTTTGAGCTAAAATTAAAGAATATAGAGAGAAACTAAACAGACAAAATGATCAGCAATAGAAGATCAACAAAAGAAATTTTTGTCATGAATTCTATTCATGTCTACAATGTTGGAGAGTCCATTGATGATTATGCACATAGACCTAGGTGAGCGACACAGGCTCTTTAGAACCTCTAGTTTTATATCAAAGGTATAATGGTGGCCTCCCATCATTTCTTTTATAGGAACTTTTTTAATCAGAGTGTAAAGCTGCAAGCAGCTATTAAACTGTTTTTTCACTAGTTGATATTTTAAATGAATCTCTGCTGAAATGTTGTTTTAGATACTTCCCCTATTTTTTGAGGTATTAATTTGACTCTTACGAAAACTTTGAAATGAGAAAATAGTTGCATAATTTATAACATTTTGCTAGTTAACATTTAATTGAGAGATTAACATTAAATACAGGGTTTGAATTGTCATTTGATATTTAGAAAATGTAGAATTTCTATACATTTATTAGGTTTTGTTTAGAAAACACTTGTTGTTATATGCAATAAATTAGCCATTAAGACATTTTCACATTCCAAAGTGCAATCTAAAATAGGGCATATAGAATGCTTTTGGTTTATTGCTAGTCAAAGTACATGTGTACTTAACATTTTTGATATTGTGTACAATGTAATTGTGATGAACAAATTGTAGATCAAAATTATAAATAAATCTATGTGTATGATTTTAGGTAAAGGAAGTTTTGAAAGATTTGTAAATATTTTAGTTTCACTGACAATATCAAATTTTTAATCCTCACGTTAATTCAGAGATTATTGTTTTTTTCGTATTTACTGCTGCTGTCAGTTGTAGATATGAGTTTTATTACTGGTAATATGTTAAAAGATGACATACATATTTAACTTGCAACCTTCTAATAATAGATTGATGTTGGCAAATATTAATAAATAATACTCCATGTATTTTTTTCTTAACTAATTTAAAAGTCTTCATTACTATTTTTCCTTTTTTTGCAGATTTATTCCTCTTTTCCATCTAAAACTTTTGAAAATATGTGATCTAACAATCTTCAGATCTGCCAAGCAAATTATATTTTGGTCAGGCAAAATTTTTCATTTGCCTAACCAGATGTCCGGCATAAATTTCAAACTTTGGAGAAGACTGCAGATATCAGGCATTTCTTGGAAGCAAGATTCTAAACTGTATGAATTATTGTGTAGAATGTTGCCAATTTTACAATAATTTTCATGGTTGGACTTTAATTTTATGTTTGTCTGATAAAAAAAATGGAAAATTGTATTAAGTGCAAAATACGAAAGAAATATAAATATACGATTATGGTGATCTTCATTCATCGTGGTGCTTTGGTAAGGCTTCCAGAAATTAGAAAATACTTCTCATTTTAATGCTTGCAATTTTTTTGTACATTTTTTTTAACACGAAAAAATGCCAATTTGAACAAATATAGTTGTGCATTAATGAACAAGAATGGCAAAACAGCATATTTCATGTTAGATTCTGTCAATTTTTTGTTATTCTTGAAGGCATGTTTTCTTTTGAAAATATTTTCTTCACTTATAAATGCATGGCTATATATAACCTTGTTAAGATGTTGTTGGGTATAGAACTGTGATCTTTATATATTATAATAGTTTTACTAAATTGTTGTAGAATTTTTATTGAATGTTTTATTTGTTCTATTTTTAGAACTTAATTGTATAGATATGTTAAACATTGTTGTAGTGTGTAAATCTCAAGTGTGTACAGTTGTTATAGACTAAGTCTAACTTAAAATGTAATTCAGAGGTCATCCAAATTCTCATGCATTTAACTAACTTGACCATAACAGGGGGAAACCCATGGTTTCAGGTAAGGGTGGGCATAATTTCCATGTTGGTAAACAAATGACAATTTTATGCCAAAAAATGATAAATTGCCCTTCAATTTGGGGCATAACACCTCTACACCCCTACCTAAAACTGCCACAGCATAAAGGGACAGCCATCTTTAACACAATTATTGTAATATTTGTTCAAGATGATTGATGTACACCTTTCAGATCATAAGGAATAACATGAACAAGCTTCTGAATTTGTTTGAAAATTGTGGATGGCCTCTACTGTATTTGTGATGAAATGTTAAGATAGTTATTATATAATAATAAAACTTGTGGAAAATGGTGAATGTTTACAAGGAAAGAAAGATTCATAAACAACATCTCTAAGTAAATAATCAAGTTCATGTTTCTGTAAATTGTGCAATAATAAGATAGATGTGTAAGCTTTTCATACAGATAGGATATAAATGTATCATGTATTACATTATTATGACATCAGAATAAGTGTAAAATTTACCTGGTAAAATGTATGGAAAAAGTAAAAATGAACAGTTTAGTTCTAAGAGCTTGCCATATGATCTTAATGATCTAATGTTGTAGGGTTGTTTGCTGTATTTTGGAGATGAATTATTATCAATAGTTAACCACATGATTGCATACAGTAAGCAAAGGTCTTTGTAGTAATGACTCAAAATGAGACATGAAAAAGACAAAAAACTTTTAGATATTTATTTTTTACTTGTTTCGCAATGTTTTAGTATCAATCTTTGTTTGTTTCCTGCATTTTTGATTAATGTTATTTAAATGTTTTCCTAAGCATGTGAATTTATTCTAGAAGAAAACTGTATGATGTATAAATGTACTTGTGTGTCCTTATGTTGTACAGAGAAGTCTAACTTCATTTGCTTTCTCTATATAATGATGTTAGCCATTTTTCTAAATTTGATTGACCCACAACATGCAATTAATTCTTTCCAGTTCATTTGTTGAGTATGGAATATTTGTATATAATTATTAATTACTGTTAAATGTTCAAATGCTTACAGAGTATTTAATTTTGATATATTTTTTATTGGAATTTTTGTACAATACCTATTTTTATCCCATTTAACCCAATGTTGCCTTTGTTACAATATTGTATATTTGAGTGCATGGAACTGTCTCAAATATCTTTCCTCTGTTGTTACCATTTATTTATAAAAAATTTTGCCTCTAAGTCAAGGTGTAAGGTACCCATCCCCTTGTCCCCAAGAAATAAAAACTAAAATTAAAGACTTATGTTAAAGTACTTTTTGATATTTGTCAGTATCATCACGACAATTTTTTTCATATTCAGTAATGTTGGTTTAAAAATTCCTTAATAACTAATAGTATTCCCACAAACAACAAAAAAATTAAGATCTATAGATTGTAGTAAAAGTATTTTGAGACAGCTCCTATGTGTTTTTCAGTTTATATATTGGTTGCTTGTTGGTTGTATTTTAGCGCAGTAAGTTTGGAAGAGGTTACATGTTAATGTTTAAACACCCCTTTTCAACAATTATAATTTTGAGATCAAGCTATCTATGTTATTTAAAGTAAATAATTGGGTTTTTTTATTTTTTAGTCTTTTTGTATAGAGAAGGACCTATTGTTATTTTCACTTGATACACAGATCAATAGACCATGTTTAAGGATAATTGAATAACCTTAATTTAACTAAAAATTGGGAGACTAAAATTGATCTTAAGTATACTAAATGTTCATTACTTACAAGTAATTTATACCCAAAGTTTTTTTGGTTAAACCAAAGTTGTTTGATCCTTTGTTTTGGATTTTGTCAAGTGCATGATGGGATTTTGTATCATTAGTTTATACAACTTATCCCCCTTGTTTCCCATCTAATCAAAGATTCAATGGATCATATTAGATAATTTATTGTTTAGATACAGAGGCAAAAGTGACAGGACAGGATGACCATTGGAAGTATTAGTTTTGTTTAAGTTGTAATGTATGTCCGTCCATCTGTCCAGCTTCAGGTTAAAGTTTTTGGTCAAGGTAGTATTTGATCAAGTTGAAGTCCAATCAACTTGAAATTTAGTACACTTGTTCCATATGATATGATCTTCTAATTTTAATGCCAAATTTAAGAGTTTTTACCACAATTTCATGGTCTATTGAACATAGAAAATGATAGTGCGAGTGGGGCATCAGTGTACTATGGACACATTCTTGTGTACAGTAGAATTCGTAATATTATCAAAACCTATGAAATGTCTAAGATCTATAGATATGTTGAATATAATGACCCTACTCAAAACTTACATCAGGAAAATCTCTCAAAATTGCCATGATGGGGGTGACTGTTCTGATGACTATCATACCAAGTTCACAACTAAAATTAGTTTGTTAAATATTTATCAAGCTTTAAACAGATGTAACTTAAATGACACATTTTAAGTGTATAAAATAAAAGGAGATGTGGAGAATGCGTCAAAGAGACAGCAACTCAACAACAACAAAACTAAAATAAATTTACTTTTCTGGGGTCCTCCTCAATCCTTTATGTTAAGTTTTCTGGTTAGTCATAATAGACCAATCATAGTAGGCATACAAATAAATTTTAATTCAAGTTTTATTAATGTTTTCTTGTTTGGTGGCATTGTTATGAAAATCTATGATGTTTTGTTACAATGGTTAACTGTTTTTTATATACAATGCTGTTTAAAGGCTAGAAAATATGCAATATTATCTGTTATACATAATCGTTACTTTAATTATAGTTTGCTTTTTGTTTGTTATACACCTCCCTTAATGATCAAATGTTTTAATACCTACAATTTTAGAAAAAGAACAAAATCAGTCATATTATATGTACGTAAAGTAAAGAGAAAATGCCAAAATGTTTTGGTGAGGATTTTTTTCTCAATCCAAGCTGAAAATCCATCTTCAATAAAAAAAATGTAAAAAATAAATCAGCCAACACCAACCCAAGGCATACCTTAGAAATTTGTGCTTGGTAGTTTTTTCGTCACTTTTTTTGTTATTAATGTATATCATTTTCACCTGTTTTATCCAATTTAAAACTTCTCCCTCTTACAGCCAAATGAGAAGAAAGTAGCAAATAAAATATTCTTCTCTCAGCCAAATGGATGAAATGGAGCAACTTTTTGTCAGATTCTCTGTCTGGTTATGCCTTGACCTTTTATGATAGAGGAGCAACATTGGTCTCTGCTGTAATTTACATTTTTCTATTTAAAAAAAAAAACAATATTTGATCAAAATGAAGAATTTTAATTCTTAGTTATTATTAACTATCAGTATTACTTTCTATCAATCAGTTGTCACAATTTACAGTACAACCTAATCATTTCTCTCTCTTTAACGTAAAACCTAATTATTTGTCACTCTTTACAGTAAAACCTAAGTTAAGATCAAGTCAAAGTATCTCAACCCCATTTAGAAATTTATTGTTTTATATCACATTTCTCACAGTTATAATATCAGAAAATAAGAACATCAATGCCAAATTTTATAATAAGTTGCCAAAAATTTAACACAGAGGCTTTGATGAACTTTTTTATTTGATAAATTTATACTGCAATCTATTTATTGTATTTTCCAGAAAACTGTAGAACACATTACAAGTACCCAGTATTTCTAAATTTACAAAAACTTGCAGGATATTTTAATAACTTTGACTTGAACTTAAGTGTGTCACATTATGGTTAGTTGGCAGCTTCACTTAGTAGCATAATAATAATAATAATAATAATAATAATAATAATAGATATGTTGATGAGCAATATGTGTTAGTATACTACTTAACAATGGAGACACTAACAAATCAAAGGTCATCTTGTTTTAATTCCGAAGAAAAATAAAATATAAAATGGTTACTTGGTTTTTTGTTGTAATTTTGAGCAGATCTATACTTTTCTAAATTGGTTGATTATTTAACCCTATGCTATGAAGTAGGTGGGGAATGTTTTTGTCCATCTGCCAATAAATTTTGGTTTCTGGATGATAACTGTAGAACTGCACACTTAGATGTATTGGCATATGTAATGAGATAAATATCCATATTGATTATTACATCAATATGTCCATAGTTAAGGTCACAGATTCTCAAATTCAATACAGAAAAGAGGTTTCAAAATGATAAATTGCTTGGGATTGGAACCAAACTTACATGTATAAATTTTAAAAAGATCCTTATGAGTTTCATGTCAACATGTCTTAGGTTCAGGGCACAGATAATAGTAAAAGTCCTAATTTGGTAGGTGGTTTCTGGATGATTACACAGGTTTGTTTATTCATTCCAAATTTGGATATATGGTTACATTTAATGAGAGGAATATTTGTAAAGAGGTCTATATGTTCAAAATCAAGGTCATACTTACTGAAAATAGTCAAATAAATGCAGAAAAGGGGTTTTCAATGACAACATAAGCATCCTACATGTGATTGGAATAAAATTTAGGTATGTAGAAGGGGAAAAAGATATGTTTATGGTCATATTTCTTGAGTTAAATCATTGTTAATTTTGAGGGCATTAACTCTGAGGTCAAGTTCAATTATTTAAAGACTGAATAAGAATTTCTGGTAGATAACTCGAGAAGATTACATTGTTAAACAAAACTTACATTTATTGAGAGGAATAATTCTTTTTATTTTGTGTCTTAAAATACCTGGAAGGTCAAGGTCACAGTTTAAACTAAGAATATTCTAAATTTGCACACACAAGGCAATTGCAAATAGTATTGGTACCTTCTAATAGCTTGGTAAAATACATAGGTTAGTGATAATTTCAGAGGATTTTTATTATGTTTTAGTCATTATTTGAGGAAACCACCATAGCAACAAAGGTCCAAGGACAAAACTCTTGAAAATCACTTGTTCATTTGTGTCAATCATTTTTATGAATATGTTCTTAGCTGTTAAGAAACATAAATTATTTTAACTATGTTTCACTTGAATTCATATAAGGCATTGAAAATGCCTCTCACAAACACATCACTAATTTAAACAATTGTGTTCCTTCAAGCATGAAAAGTTGTAATTATGTACCAAATTGTTAGATAATGGCAAATTCAAAAGTAAAACATGATGCACATAAGTATAGTTGCAATATTTACTTGACATTTATTGTTTTGTCTGTTGTCAACAAAAACTTGTATGTGATCGATTTTGGTAGGGTTGGATTTCGGTAAAGTCTCTTTTTAGAAAGACAACTTTGTTATTATAGTGCTTATTAGTTTCCCCCTGGCTTGGGGGTATGCAAGCTTGGTCACTTAGGATCTTTCCACTCTTGTCTTACACAAATCATTTAAATGTTATATATTATGATCATTGGTAATGTTTAGAAATCACAATAATTTTATCTCACAAAATACATGGTGTCAATATTGTTGCTATGAATGAAAAACAAAAGTACTATTAATCAGTTACTTTAGAATTATTCACTCGTGAAGTTGACCCCTAATGGTTTTATTTTATGAAGCTTTTGAACTGTGTCTTCTATAATTTATCTATTTGTCATTAGTTTGTTATTGAAGTTGTCATATTGGTAAAAAGTCTTCAGGTAAACAGACGATTAAAGATCTGTCATCTGCATGCACCAAATTCTCAAAATGCACAAATTTAAATGGTATGAAAAAAGTAAACGTATTTTATATAGATCGAAACAGGAATCTGGGAATTTTTTTTTATTGGCCTAATGAAATGACTTCTTTACATTTCAAGACAGCTATTAATAATGCTTTCTGTTAATGCGACGTTCGCACTGTGCCGATTATGGCTCCCGTTTGATATCAAACAGCGCGGCAACACAAAACTAGGAAAAGTCCGATTACTGTATCCTCAATGATCTGGAATGTCCTGTCATTGTCTCACAGTTTGTAACCGAGTCCTACGGTTTGGGAATGGTCCAGAGAGGTCGGCCAACCACTCCCGACAGTTAGGCGCTTTCCGTAACATTCGAGAGACTCAGTCGATTGTATTTAGTCGAATTACAATCGTGACTAGGTCGTGGCAGATTCTGTTGTTTCGGATCAAAATCGTTACAATTGCCTGTGTTGTCTGGACGGAGTCCTGTAGAACAGTCTGATATCTAGCGGATCACCGGGAGAAACGGGGCTCTGTCGGGGCAGATTCGGTCGTTCTTTATTATACGAAAGACATAAATTGGATCAAAATCGGATTGAGAACGGGATAATCGGGACGAATTCGGTTGGAAATTGCTGATTCGGAACGCTTCCTGAACATCTGATTGTTGCCGTGAGTAAATTAATGTGTTTACAAATAGTTTGAATTTCTAGCCATGAATCCCAGGATTTGTATCAAACTCCTGGCAAATTCAATATTATCGTATATATTAAATAGTTTTAAATGACATTTCCACCCTAACTTCTAGCTAAATCCAGTATGGAACAATCTTTATGATGTAAGGCATATACCATTCCTCTTGAGAATGCCTCTATTTTCTCCATCAGTAAGATAGTCTGTATTAGTATTGGAATTTGTGGACTTGACACATCCAAAATCACTTTCAATAGCATTGACATTTTTGAAAAGACTAGCTTTTCTATTTTATGATCAATGTTACATAGCAGAGTTCTCAGCTTTGAAATAAACGGTCTCCTCACAGTATCTGTACTGTTACACTGTAGCAGGAAATGTTCAGTATCTTCAATGTCAACCATACACAACTGACACATCGCACTTACTTCATGCTTATTAAATCTACTGCGGTTTGATTGCAGTGTATACACCACTGCCAGTAATTTAGCTTTAACATTAACTTTCATAATAGAAATAGAATCAAGTCCTGTATTGGCCCATATATTATGAACAGTGCCACAATTTATTGACATTGGATGTAAAAAACGAAAAGTAGATTTTCCTTTTGCCCTAATCATTATCTGCTGTCTCCAAACAGTTTATATTCTATTTTTCACATAATTTTTCCAACCTTCTTTATTTGGTATAGAATTTAAAATGTCAAATATGGATTCAAAGTCATACAATGAAAGTATATCATTCACATATATAAACCAGCTATGTGAGGTGTTATCCTTCAGTACAAGTTGACTAATACAAATCTCCTTCTCTATATCATATTTCTGACTTTATCAAAGTAAGCTAAAATTTGACTATGTAAGAACGCAATTGGCATCTGACCAGACCGTATATAAATTGCTGCATCAGCTGTTCTTTTTGGCAGATTTGGCAGTATTTTAAGCTGTGATTTATGAAAAAAGTTCAATTCATCCAATTCCTTTATACTGAGCGTTACACAATCTAGCCCAAAAGTCAGACGTCGGCGTACATATGTATTCCATAACTTAATAACTATATTTGGGTTTACGCCGTTGTATCTGTGCATACCTGCACCCATCAGCGCATAGCAAGTACTTCAAGCTAATTTTATTCTCTCTGTCACTATACATTTTTCAACTGAATTTCGTTCAATTCCAACATGTGTGTTATAGATAATGCATATTTTAAGGTTTTTCTTGTCGTAGAACACACCTCGGGGTGTCAGGATTGATCAAATGAAAGACCAACCGTAGGGAGGTGTGTTCTACGACAAGAAAAACCTTAGAATATGCATTATCTGACTTATATACCGTCAAAAAAATATTGTTTTTTATAAAGATTTGCAAAATTTAGCATCCTATTTTACATGTACATGTTACACGAAAACGAATATCAATACATGTAGGTCACAGTATGATTTCCTATTCAGTGTGTATCGTCCTGAACATGCATGAAATATTTGCCACTGGACGTTAAGTAACCATCAATCGATCAACCTATTCAGTGTGAATCAATAAGATTTTCAAAATCTTACACACGAATATGTTAAATCTGGCTTTATTTTAAAGTGTAATGAAAGTTTTACATTAAAATTCATCTCGCATATATGATAATGTCTCTGTATCGTAGCGATAAATTAACAAAACTTCACATTATTTGTTTCTAAAATTAAAATTCGGGCAATGACGATTTTTTTTTACACCTATCATAGATTGAACTTTAAGAAATAAATTCCCAAATCGGCAACAGAAACTATCAGACGAATATAATTTTGAAGTAAATTATAGTTTGCATTTTTATCAAGGAAAATAATGACCTCACACAGGTCATTATTTTATGCCTTGGAGCATATTTCATTGAAACATGGTATGGTCCGGGTTGATTCTTCGAAAGAATGACCTATCGTTCTGAATGAAAATAACTCCATATAGGTATATAAATATAAAGAAACATGTTCCACAAGTTGGTCATGTAAATAAAATTCATCAAAACATTTCTCATTCCTTCTATCATCAAAGGTCATAATTTTACTTTTAGTTCCACTAATAAGGTATCTTGCTTTATTTGCAAAAGTTTCTTGTAAGCTAAACATTGTCTGTAAAGAGATTGCATCTTCCGCTAGTAATACAATATCATCTGCGCACGCTGGTGAGGCAGCGTGTATTGTTCCAATTCGGAAGCCCAAATGCTTGTTTTGATACCAATCTAATAATGGATTAATATAAAGTTCAAAAGCTCTTGAAAAATGTCCACCCCATTTAACCCTTGACCTCATATTCTGATAACACCTGATTGAAACAGTTTTAACATCAAGGAGTCATGCCACACAACATGAAAAGCGTTAGAAGCATCAATAAAAGCTACACACATTTTCTTCTTACGGTCTTTGGCATCTGCAATACCCTCAGTAAATAATAAAGCTGCATTTGTAGGAGATACCCGTTTAGTAAAGCCACGTTGCAATTTATTTTGATGTTTATTTAATTCCGGAGAAATTTTAGATAAATGTATTGTCTCAAACACTTTTTCCCATAATCCTACAAACAGTGATACGCCTGTACGAATTTGGGTCCTGTAA